CCTCATTTTTTAATTTTAATATATTTGTTCGTAGTTATCAGAAGCTCCTCAGTGGGAAGGATGTGGTCTTTGGAATCCAGATAAGGATGGTTTAAATCAGATCAGTTACTTCACTTTTAAGCCCGTTTTCTCCTCTGTAGAACACAGATAATACCTTCTGGTCTCCTGAGGTGGTGAGGATTACTGAGATTTACTAAGGAAGCCAACAGTCCCTGCCTGAAATATAGCAGATGCTAAATACATTATGGTTAACATGATTTCTCTTTACTAATCGTGACTGCCGATGAGGCAGGTGCATGCCTTTCATGCAATTCTATAAAACGTTAACTCTATATCATAAGCAGCTAGGAAGTCAGGTCCTTGAACATGGAAGGATGCAATTTTCAACACAACAAAGATCTAAAAAATGGTGTGACAAAAGAATTAAAGGAAAGACTGAGCTCCAGGAGGATTATTACCTAGATTGTAAGAGTGCCCAGAAAATTCCACTGTTTCTCCCAATAGTATGCTCATCTGAATTTATTGTCAGGCAATTTCCTTGTGCTGTCCAAAGCACTGAAATTCAAACCAAAAATTTGTCAAGGGAATGAGATCACTTGGCTTCTTCCCCCACGAAACACACGATACGATTAAATAAATCCCAGAAGACAGAGAAAATAAACATCAAGATACTTACCGGCAGCGGCAATTCCAATGAAAACAGAGGCTGTGTAGAAGGACCACGGGAGAGGCTGGATAAAAACGGCAATGTACATGCTAAAATGTAACAGGTCAACGCATTACGGTCAAACAATACCGCATAGAGAATGCCAATTATGCCTTCTAGGAATCGGTTCTGATAATTCTCTTGTTTTAAAAGTCAACCTGGGGGCGCCTGGGTGGCTCAGTGGGTTAAGCCTCTGCCTTCGGCTCAGGTCATGATCTCAGGGGCCTGGGATCGAGTTCCGCATCAGGCTCTCTGCCTGGTGGGGAGCCTGCTTCCCTCTCTCTCTCTGCCTGCCTCTATGCCTGCTTGTGATCTCTCTCTTTGTCAAATAAATAAATAAAAAATCTTAAAAAAAAAAAAACAACCCACAAAAGTCAACCTGTAAAGGACTTCTCCAGTATTGGAAAAAAAAAAAAGGGACAGATGCAACCTACTCATTTCTTCATGTATTATTTCGAATTGGGTCAGACACTGAAACAGGGTTTACAATCGGCCTTTGCCAATAGCTCAGCTTGTGCTGGGACTGTAGTTCTACAACCCAGAAGAAAAGCTTAGTTATCTCAGGTTGAATTCCTGTTAATCAACATGATATAAAATAAGAGTATTTCACAGGAAGTTCTTTCCAACTCCCACAGAAAGAGATGTGGGGATACTATTTTTATGAAGAGTAAAATGAAAGCATGTGTGCACACAGGCCATCACATTAAAACAACATGGCATCTCTGGGCATCAAGAAGAGAACCAAATCCCTAAAATACTGCCTGTAAACTATTCAATCCACGTAGGCAAACTTTTTCTTTTTTAAGTAATCTCTGCACCCAAAGTGCGGCTTGAACCTACAACTCGGAAATCGAGTGTCACATGCCTTTCTGACTGAACCAGCCACGCACCCCCAAGTCAGCAATTTCTTGTGAAAAGTTTACTACGTGCTTGGAAGGTGCTGAGGGAGTTTGGATTAAATGAAAGAAAATCACACCACTCACCTGTAAAATAAACCACTTGCAAACATAGAGAGCTGAGGTCCTATAATGGCAACCACTGATGGTGTAATCAAATTTGAAGCAGAGAACACGCCATAAATAATCGCCATGCTGTACGCACAACACACAAAAGGGAAAAACAAAACCCTTGAAGCACTGTCTCAAAAGTGCGTTTTTCCAAATCTGCTTAGAGTCTATAAATGTTTTTGCCATAAACGTTCATTTCTCTAGTTGAACTTAACGATAAGTCTGTCATTACGCTGAATCCTACGGTGAGGTTTTCACGTACACAGAATCTTAGAAGTCTCATCAAATTTCCCTTTGACTCAGCCTGCCTTGGACAATATGCTTTTAATGGAATGGTAACGTATAAAAACAGCTAACGTGTAACACGTAACAGACATCAAACCAAGTATTTTATGGATGTTTTCTTTATCAAATCTGACAGCTCTATAAAGTATTATTATTATCCTCACTCTACAGAAAAGAAAACTGAAACATGGAGGGGTTGAGTTACTTGCCAGAAGCCCAGCTAGATAGCTGGGGGAATAGTGAAGCCAGAATCCCATCCCTGGTGATCTCACTCCAGAGGCCCTAGTCAACCAGTCTGCTCTACAAACTTAGTTTACAACTCCTGGCAACTACATGAAATTTCCTGGTTATAAACAACAGGCACAGAGTTATCACTCGCTTAAACCAGAACTTATTTAACTCAATCTAATCGCCTCACTTGAACATTATTCAGCTACTATAGATCCAGCCCTAGAACACGTGTCTTGTAGCAGTGTGATAAAACCATTTTGAGGGTCCTCAATTCACTCCCCAGACACTATCCACAAACCCAAAGTAAATTATTCTGTGACATTTATGATCCTCTCAAACAGTAAAGGTTCGCTGGAATTGGAAGACAAAGTAAAAACTGTGGTATTGTTAATCGCTAAAAAAAATGGACATTAGCTCCCCTTTATCTCAAACGTCATATGTAAGATCAGGTTTAGCATAGGGAATAACCAAATAAGATGAGTTGTGGGGGGAGGGGAGGATATTGGTCAGCATCTAATGGTTAATTGCAAAGAAATTAAGAACCCGTATGTGCTTATATCCAAGTGTTTATATCCATGTGTGCATTACACTCCCAGCTTCAATCACAATGTACTAGTGACTCATGAAGGTCTTTTCACTTTATTTTCTGTCTGTAAAAGTGGGACTAAACACCTTAACAAAAATCTAAAAGCTCCTGATGATAGCATGTTCATTACAAAATTACAAACACAGGAAGGCTGATTTAAGAATCATATAAAACATCCTCTGTTTAGGATTGAGAAGATGTACTTATGACAACACTTGAGTGTTTATTAAATGCCAGGCGCTGTGCCAAGAGCTTTACACCCATTTTCTGAGCGAGGAAACGCCTCACAGAAGTAACCTGCCTAACGTAACGCAGTGTTAAACCATGAAACCAGAATTTCAAACCCAGTATTTTCTGGGTTTGAAATTCTACATGAAACCTAATTCTACATGAAACCTAAACTCGCCATCTTTATTATGTTCTCCCAAACAGACCAGACAGAGAAAAAACAACCACTACGAATTCAATCACAGTATCAGCGCCGGAGATTCTGATAAGATTTCGGTTAACTACCGTTAATATAGGAAGGAAAGTCACAGGGTACCATACCTGGTATAGCCACTGCCGTGAAAGTCTGTGCTATTTAAGCTCCTGATGACAGTTTGCTGCGTGAAAGATAAAGCTAATCAATGAAAACATTTCGCAGTCTCCCTCCCCATCCCCACCAAAGTTTGTCTCCAAGAACTGAAAATGAAGCCCTCGGCAAAAACTCAAGATACTCAGTACTTCATGTTGAAAGTCAACTAGGAGACAAGAAGAAGGACTACAGGAACAGGAAAAAGCAAACCGACGACAGGGAAGGGGAAAAGATCAGCTGTAGCTATGCCTGGGGATTCTTTCCTCCTCAATTCTCCCAGGACTAATGGAGCCCTTAATACAGACATGAAATAATAACAGGTCAACGTACAACCCCCAGGTCGACCAGAGGAATAAGCCGCACGGTTTAACTCCCCATCCCGGTACAATATTAGCAAGAACAGTCTGACACACGAAATTGACCTGAGGCATAAAAAACGAGGAAGGGCAGGTGGGGAAATAGAAGGTGCCACTTAAGCGCGCTGTCCGGCACAATTACTGTTTATTATCATTTTCGGAATGCGTTACGAGAGGCACGTCAAAGGAGGGAGAACAGATCCCGACTCACCGCCACATTGCCGCAAGTTTGAAAGGCGGTGAACATAAACATAAAGGCAACTCCTAAAATTATAATGTTGAAGAGCTTTTTAGATTCCGGGGACATTGTGGCTCAACTCGGCCGGGGGTCCGCAGCGGCCCAGGGCGGTCAGCTCTCCTCGGGGCGAACCCACTGACAATCCTGGGGAAGGAAATGAGATGGTGAGAAGAGGAGGCCGATCCGGGAGCAAGGCTGCCAAGCTGTCAACTTCCAGTTCTTGGATCAGAATCGCGGGCCAGAGTGAGGTCCTCCCCGCGGGCAGTCAGGACATTCCTAGGAGCCGATCCGAGCAGAGAAGGGCCCGACCCCCGGAGAGGCGCCAATAATGTCGTGGCTCAGGTTGAGGGGCCCGCGAGGGGGAACAGGGGCCAAGACCGAGGCGCAGCGGCCGGCGCGGCCCCGCCCGCCGGGCCCTGACTCACCGCGGGTCAGGCGACCGGGTCACCTGACCGCAGCCTCGGCCGGCCGCTCGGCCGGCTGGGAAATGTAGTCCTTACAGCCCGAGACGCGCAGGCGCGCCGTAAGGAGGGGAGGGGCGCCAAACCCGCGCACCGCCCACCCCCCCAAGGAGGAGCTTGAAAGCGGAACCCCGCCGAGAAATCGGGAACTGCGGGAGGGAACCCGGAGACGTTGTAGCGGGGCCTGAGAAGGCCGGAGACCGCGGGGCAGACGGGGGGAGGAGGAGAAGTACTCCCTCTGATAGAAGCGGAAACCTCCTGCTGAGGTCCGAGCAGAAAAGCTGCGTGGGGCTCGGATATTGGCATGAAAAGAAGGCGTGGCCTGGCAGGGGAGCGCTTCCTGTTCCTTTTGCGGGAGAACGCCTGTACGGCCTCGCAGCCGGAAAGAGCTTTTCGCGGGCTTTCCAACTGCCCGAAAATTCCGCTCCCCCCTCCCAGCAACAGTGACTCCGCGCTTTTCGGCCCGCCCGCCGGACTCTGCGCAGGCGCGTCGGACAGGGGTGGGGCGCGTGGCCGCAGCGTTGCGGGGCGGGGAGGGGCGAGCCAATCAGGGGATTCATTTCCGGGTGGCGCGGGCGCCATTTTGTGAGGAGGGATATAAACGGGCGCTAGGGCCGGCTGCCCGCCCAGTTGTTTCTTTGGTGGGGTCGGCTGCTTTCTCGCATTTCCCTCCCAACCCCGTCCGGCCTCGCCCAGCGTTTCCACGCGGAAGCCAACTGCCAGAGGCGCGGCGTCGAGCCGGGCGAGTGTGAGGAAACCGCCGCCTTAGCCGAGCGCGCGGGCCCGCCCAGGGCGTTAGTTTTCGGCGCGCAGTCGCAGCCCCCGGCCGGCTCTCCAGGGCCATGAGTTACGGTCGCCCGCCTCCCGACGTGGAGGGCATGACCTCCCTCAAGGTGGACAACCTGACCTACCGCACCTCGCCCGACACCCTGAGGCGCGTGTTCGAGAAGTACGGGCGCGTCGGCGATGTGTACATCCCGCGGGACCGCTACACCAAGGAGTCCCGCGGCTTCGCCTTCGTCCGCTTCCACGACAAGCGCGACGCCGAGGACGCCATGGACGCCATGGACGGGGCGGTGCTGGACGGCCGCGAGCTGCGGGTGCAGATGGCGCGCTACGGCCGACCCCCGGACTCGCACCACAGCCGCCGGGGCCCGCCGCCCCGCCGGTACGGGGGCGGCGGCTACGGACGCCGGAGCCGCAGGTGAGCGGGCCGGGGGGCGCGGGCGGGGGGCACAAAGGTCCGCTTGGACACGTGGCGGCGGCGGGCGGGCTCGGGGCCGCGGCGGGCGGCGGGGGAAATGGCGCCCGGGCGGCGGGCGGCGCGGTAATGGCGGCGGGGCGGGCGCAGCACGCGGGCGGGGCGCGGCCTTCGAGCCCCGATGGCCGCCCTGACGCCCGGCCGTCCGCTCGCAGCCCTCGGCGGCGCCGCCGCAGCCGCTCCCGGAGTCGGAGCCGCTCCAGGTCCCGCAGTCGCTCCCGCTACAGCCGCTCCAAGTCTCGCTCCCGCACTCGCTCGAGGTCGCGGTCCACGTCCAAGTCCAGGTCGGCGCGAAGGTCCAAGTCCAAGTCCTCGTCGGTGTCCAGGTCTCGCTCGCGCTCCCGGTCCCGCTCCCGGTCCCGGAGTCCGCCGCCCGTGTCCAAGAGGGAGTCCAAGTCCAGGTCGCGCTCCAAGAGCCCCCCCAAGTCTCCCGAGGAGGAAGGAGCGGTGTCCTCTTAAGCGAATGGTAATGTCGGGGGGATCCGAGGCGCACGGCCCGAACTCAGAGCTGGGGTGTGTAGGAGCTTGTGGCGATCCGTGTTAGTGTAAGTGCGGCTCCCGATGTCGGGGAGCGGCTTTGGGAGAGATGCTGAAGAGGGGTCTGCAGAGAGGATGTGCGGAAAGCTTAGATAATAATGGCTGTTTCGTAAACTGTTTGAGACCTATTAATGAAAATGACTATTTCTTGCTGTTTTTATCCAACGTCTGCATTTTCCCCTTTAAAGCTGCGGTCTCCTGTTTGATAAAAGAATATTGGCCAGTATTGCAGATTTTAACTGATTTGGCTGATCCTCCAGGGACCAGTTTCTGTGGGCGTGTATTGGAGCAGGTTTGTCTTTAAATGTTAAAGATGCACTATCCTCTTAGAGAAAAGGATCAGTTCAACTATTGTTGTACTGACTGGGACTTCGTATTCTAATGGATGTGGCAAACGAATTGCGAAAAGAAGCAATGAACTTTTGGAACCCCCAAAAAGTTTACAGGTATCGCACTGGGTGGGGAAAGGATAGTGTGTCTTTAACTCTCGAATTGTTTGGTCCTATTTTTTAAAAGGAAAGGGCCCTAAGTAGCTCAGATATTAAAGCTTTATTCTCAATTGCCAAATGTTTCATTTAAAGACTAAAAAATTATCTTACAATAGACTGATTTTCTGATTTCAAGTTTTTCTTTGGATACCGTCCTTTTTTTTTTTTTTTCTTTTCCCTTTTTTCCCCCTCCCCCTTTTTCCTTTTTCTTTTTCCCTCCCTTATATCATTTTTCACCTTGGTTATTTGGCCAAGATTACATAAACACAAATTTGTAAAAGCGGATGGTAGCCTTTGTGAAAATTTCCTAATTGGGCCTTTAAAAAACTGATAATGGCTGGGTGGAACCTTTCCGTAACCTACTTGTTTCACCAGAGCCTTAGTAAGTACATGCCTGAAACTGAAACCATGTGCACTTTTGGTAGCTTCATTGTAATGGAAGGTAAACTGAACTTTTTTCTTTTCAAACCTAGATGGGTCAGCAAGCAACGTAACAGAAGACTTGGGGGCAAAGGACCACATACTCAGTCCATCGAAGAGTCGCTTGGAACAAGCAACTGGCTATTGAAAAGGTTATTTTGTAACATTTTGTCTAACTTTTTACTTGTTTTAAGCTTTGCCTCAGGTGGCAAACTTCATTTTATGTGCCATTTTGTTGCTGTTATTCAAATTTCTTGTAATTTAGTGAGGTGAACGACTTCAGATTTCATTATTGGCTTGGATATTTGAGGTAAATTTTCCTTTTGTTTATATAGTGCTGACTTCTTTTGTTTGAAATTAAACAGATTGGTAACCTAATTTGTGGCCTCCTGACTTTTAAGGAAACGTGTGCAGCCATTACACACAGCCTAAAGCTGTCAAGAGATTGACTCAACATTGCCTTCATTCCTTAAAATTAAAAACCTACAAAAGTCGGTGTAAATTTGTTTGTATATGTTATTTACCTTCAGATCTAAATGGTAATCTGAACCCAAATTTGTATAAAGACTTTTCAGGTGAAAAGACTTGATTTTTTGAAAGGATTGTTTACCAAACACAATTCTAATCTCTTCTCTTGTGTATTTTTGTGCACTAGGCGCAGTTGTGTAGCAGTTGAGTAATGCTGGTTAGCTGTTAAGGTGGCGTGTTGCAGTGCAGAGTGCTTGGCTGTTTCCTGTTTTCTCCTGATTGCTCCTGTGTAAAGATGCCTTGTCGTGCAGAAACAAATGGCTGTCCAGTTTATTAAAATGCCTGACAACTGCACTTCCAGTCACCCGGGCCTTGCATATAAATAACGGAGCATACAGTGAGCACATCTAGCTGATGATAAATACACCTTTTTTCCCCTTCCCCCCAAAATGGTATATCTGATCATCTTCATGTATGAACTTAAAATATGGAAAATGTTAAGGAAGCAAAAATGGTTTGTAACTTTGTAAGTACTTATAACATGGTGTATCTTTTTGCTCATGAAAATTCTGTACTATAACCATTGTTTCTGTAGTTTAATTAAAACGTTTCCTTGGTGTTAGCTTTTCTCAGAATATGTCTTGGTGTTTTTTCCCTCCCCTTTATTTGAAAGACCTGTGCAATTACCTTGTGAATTGTTACTGACTGTACAGTATGAAAGTGATATGTGTAGTGTTGACTTTTTTCCCTAAGTTAACGTGGAAATGGCATTTCAGCACCCATAACCCCTAAAATCAATGCTCTAAGGTAGCAGTCTCTTGAGGTTGTGGGTACCCCCTTCTCTCTGCTTAATTTATGCCCTGTTTTTGAAGATTTCCCCCCCAAAGAACAATCCAAGTCCCTTTTTTTTTTTTTTTTTTAAACAGGTGTCTTAATTTTTGTTTTCATGGCTTTGTAACCTGTGAGTATTGTCTAGGTCATCCATCACAATCTTAAAGGCCAACAGATCTGACCATCGTCAAATTCAATGCTTGTACTCCCAAGAAGCTAAAGTGGTCTGAGTCTTAGTTGGCATGGCAGGTTGCTGATTAGTATTGACATTGTCCGAGAACAGCCTGTATGTAGGTATAATTCAGAGACTGTCCTTTGCAAAGGAGATGACCAGCATTTCAACAGTATGTCTTCCTGGGAGGGCAGATTCTGCTATATCTTCCTTGTCTGCATCAAAAGACTCCAGAGGAATGTGGACACATTTCATATCCCACTTGTAGAGCAAAGCTTCAAGTGACCAGTCAGCACTGAAAAAAAATAAATTGTTTTTTAAAATCATGTTTTCCTGTTTTGCTTCAGATACATTTTCATTTTATCCTTTCAGTAGATACTGCATGAGGAGTAAGGATTTAAGTTTCAAAAAAATTGAGAGTAAACCAGGATTGTTCAAGCTTACCTTCTTACCTGGTAAGTGGACCACAATTGGACTTTGGGGTTTTTTTGCATCAAAAAGTAGAGTGTAGTTAAGATGTCTTCAAAATCTGAGAAGAAAGGACTCCTTAAATGGACTTAAACTTAGGTCATCTCTCCAGCCAAATTTACTACTAAAGACTAAAAAAGGTTTACCTTCTGGTTCAAAGAACACATCAGATGCAAGTATAATATCTTGTGATGGTAGAGCCAGAAGATCCTGAGACACATGGCCCCATGTCAGTCCTGTGACGCGTACATGTGGCAGGTCATTCATTTCACAGCTTTGGCGGCAGATTTCTAGACAGTGAGGCAGCTCTGAACTGTCCGACAAGATTACTTCAGCACCACATTTTGCAGCCATAATTCCTGGAAGGCTCACTCCAGCTCCAATCTAATACATTTAAAAAATCACATTCCAGGTTCTGCTTAACCATCGCGGGGAATTTGGGGGCATAGTTTCTGTAAGTACAAAGTTGATGATTAGCTTGTCCTATCTACAAAAGGTGCTACAATTACATTGCTTTACCATATGAAGCTTTAAGCTTTTCAATTTGTAGAAATTACTTCTTGAGATTCCTCTCACGGGGTGGGAAGGTTAAGTCCCATACAGGGCCCTGCATTCTGCAACTGTTACTTCCAACCTTTGTGGTACCTGGCAGCTTCATTGCTCAATATGCCCTAGGCAGTTTGGGACACTTGGTCATTTTCACTTCTCTTAGAGTCTATAAAGAAACTCTTAATTATACACAACACTGGGTCTCTAGAAGCCTGATGGGTGACTTGCATGCACACCTGGCCATTATGCTTGTTAATACCAATTTTTACTGCTTTTATGTGGCTATCACTGGACAGGTCTGCAACAGGACTTTCTGCAGAGGGGACTTTCCGGTTGGGCCTTCAAAGTGACAAGGTCTTTAGCATGCTAAGTAAGGAATGACCAAGGAATGCCTTTTAGGAGTATTCTCCCTATTTAAAATGTACTTTCCAGTTCCGAGCATGAGCTTGGAGATTCTCAATCTTTCCTGAATGTTTACAAATTGCCACTGTTCAGGGTCAGAAGTATGCTAAGTACTCACACCCCTCACAGGGTTTTGCAAAAGTCAAGAGGTTACTAAGTTTTGGGTTTGTCCTCAGCCTTAAGATTTAAGCCTTGTACCATTTATGCAAACTTAACAAAAGTTTTTTCTCCAAGCCTCTAGCAATCTTAAGTCAGGTGGAGTGATGAGAAAGAGTTTGGGATACTCTAAAAAGATTTCCAAAAATGGAAAGGACTATTGTATGAGAAAATGCATGTGTCACAGTAGACCCCAGATGACCCTGTTGGGACACCCTGAAAAGATAGTCTTAATGATTGCTACCATGCCAAGACTGTGTGGAATTAGTCAATGGGCTTCACTTAGAATAAAGGTCAGTCAGCATAATGTAAAGGGCCAGATGACCTTTTAGTCTCAGTGGGACTCCTGTGGTCTCTGGTGCACGTGCTTTTTTAAAACAAAACGTAAAAAGTATTCTTCGCTCACATGACTTACAAGCTGGCAAATCACCTGATTTAAAAGTCTTTAACAAAGGTCAGTTACAAGCACATAGACAAATCTGAACAGAGCATTTTAGGAAGCTTCAAGAGCACTTGTACCTCTAGGACAGCCTTGCCTGGCAGAGATCTTCTGTGAAACCATAGGTACTGAGCCAAGACCACCGCACAGGGCCAAACATACATTCCATATTCGAGATGCAGCACCTGAAAAGAATTTTTTGTATGCCAAAAATAACTCATCTGCTGACAGTTGTAGTATTTATTTTCACAGGAATCAGAGTGCCCGACACCCGGCATCTATCACAAAAATGACAGTTCCCTGCTGTCCAGTTCACATCCCATGGGGTTTATAAAATTGCAATACCGTGTGATAAGCACTCTTCATACACTAATTCACTCAATGAGCATTTATCCAGGGACTGCGTTGCTTAGCGGGCTAAGGATGTAACTAGGTTATCACGGAATACATACATAGACACATACATACCCTATGGGAAAAGATAAGCCACAAGTAAGCACATACATTTTTAGCTGGTAGTAATGCTAACAACAAAACCTAGTGAGAGAGTAGTGGGGGCAGTGAGGGGTGGAGACAGCGACCACAAGGTGGCTGTCCTAGATAGAACGATTCTGGCAAGGGCCCTGAAGCAGGAACTAAAAAGCCTCTGGCTGGAGTACAGACAGCACTGACAGCAGGGGCATGGGGGCTGGGAGGCAGGGTTGTGGTAGTACTGAGGTCAGTGGGATGGCATGGATCAGAACTGTGGGGTCCTGTAGGCCACGGGAAGATGAGCTTTTATTAAGTGCAGTTAATGTATCAGAGGGGGGCGGCTGGGTGGCTCAGTGGGTTAAAGCCTCAGCCTTCGGCTCAGGTCCTGGGATCAAGCCCGGAGTCGGGCTCTCTGCTCAGTGGGGAGCCTGCCTCTCTGCCTACTTGTGATCTGTCTGTGAAATAAATAAAATCTTAAAAAAAAAAAAATGTATCAGAGAGTTACAATCACAAGCATAAGTTGGTATGCTAAAGGAAAACAATGAGGCCAGAAAGACATTCCAGAAGTTTGAGAGGAGCTCAGTCCTGGAGTTGGGAAGGCAGGCAGCTTACACAGCCTTTGGAAAGATACAGAACTCTGAGACAGCACAGTATTTAGGGACGCAAAATAACGCCTCACACCTTTGGAATGAGCCTGCCTGAGTTCGAATGCCAGATGTGTAACTTACTAGCCGTATGACCTCACCCATTACTTAACCTGTCCTGCAGTTTCCTCACCTGCAAAACACTATCTCATACCATGACTTGTGAGACTCAATGCAAACTGCTTAGTACAGTGCCAGGCACAAAATAAGCAAAGCGAGCAGTCATTAAACCGCAAAACTGCAAATCTTTCTGTTTTCTAGAGCAGAGGGTGCTGCTAGTGGACTGGTTGGGAAGGGGGCTGAAGCCGCGGAAGTATCAAAGGTGAATTCACTCAACAAAAATATCAGTGCCCTGCCACTGGTTCTAAGTGTAGGGAGGGCAGCGTGAATAAAATGCCTGCCCTGGAAGATCTGACGCAGGATACAGTAAAGGACTTCTGACCACAGCAGTGAGTTTGCAGATTTGGGTGTAAATTGGTCTTTATTCTCACGTGGAGTCAGCTCCTAAACTTGGGAAGAAATCCCAGGGGGTATTCAACACGAAGGCATTTAAAAACTATCAGAAATCGGTTTCACTCGAGACTTTACCTCCTCTTGGGCGGTTTTTCATCTTCAAATTGTTTTTGCTAATACCCTGCTCACAGAATGATGTTAAAATCGAACACTGCAACGTCCAAGTGCTTTGCAAAACCGGACGCACAATGTATTACTGCTATTATTCCTGCAAGTCTGGGGACAGTCGTGAGCTGAAAGGAACAAGTGAGTGCCAACCCAAGAAACTTTATTTGGAAAGTGAGGGTGGAGTCCCCCGTCTTGGATAAAGCTGAATTAAGAAGCCCTTCAACAAGATCAAAGAAAATACTTGGTGTCAAAAACGCCACCTTTCTGGCAGGAAATATTCGATGTGGAAGGCCCTTCTCGTGGCAGGGTCCCCAAGTTTCTTCCTTAAAGACTGCCAAGAGCTCCAGGCCCCAAACCTTCCTGCCCTGAGGTCCATCCTAAGGCAGGGAAGCCGCCAAACCTCGCCCCCACCCCTCCCAACACCTCCAGGCCGGCTGGGAGCGGCTCCTGCCCCGGGCGCCTCCGCAAAGGACCGGAGGCTCCTCCCGACCGGTGCCGACGCACGCACCTGCGGGACGCTGACCTCCAGCACGGCCCCCTCGGCCCCCAGGCCCGGCTCCTCCGAGAATCGAAAGCGCTGGGCCCGGACTTCATGCCCTCGGAGGCCACGCTTGTCCAGGGGGGAGTCGGGGGTCCCCCGACGGGCCGGGAACGGCGAAGAGCGCCGGGCTGCCAGGCCGCGCGCGCGGGAAACCCCTGGCCGACGGGGCCGCCTCACGGGCGCTACGCTGCCCTGCCGGGTCGCTGCAACTCGACTGCAAAGGCGGGGAAGGCACCGCTCCAGCGGGCGACGACGTGGCCGCGCGAGGAGAAGACACCGGAGGCCAGGCAAAAGAGACACGGAAAACAGGTGGCCTCGGCGACTCGCACGCCGGAAACGGGCCGCCGGGTAAGCGGCCCACGCCCGGAAGTGACGCGCACACCGGAAGCGGGAGCGGGAGAGGCGGGGCCGCAACGAGACGGCTCCTCGATCGGCGCGACCTTCCCAAAATGGCGGAGAGCCGGCGAGTGTGAGGGCGGACCCAGAGGTGCCCGAGCCAATGGCTCACCGCGAGAGGCCGGGGGGCGGGGAAGACGGCAGCCGCGTGCCCAACCCGAGGCCCGGGAGGTGGTTGGGGAGTGAATTTTCTGGAAGGCGACTTTAAAGGCGCCGGGCCAGGGGGAAGGGCGTTTGGGTGCCGCCGCCGCCGCCGCCGCCGCAGCCGCTGTCCGGGCAGGGGAGGGGTGCGTTGGAAGCAGGAAGCGAGGCGCGCCGAGGTCGTCGCGGGAGCAGCTGGTGATCCCCGGAGGATGAACCACAAGAGCAAGAAGCGGATCCGCGAGGCCAAGCGTAGTGCGCGGCCGGAGCTCAAGGACTCGCTGGACTGGACCCGTCACAACTACTACGAAAGCTTCTCGCTGAACCCGGCGGCCGTGGCGGTGAGTGGGCCGGGGTCGCGGGCCGAGGCCGGGCAGGGCACCTCTGGGCGGCTGCGCGACTCCCCCGGCGTACAGCGCGGCACCCCCGAGTTCCGATGGGCTCATCCGTACCCCGCGGAGGTAGGGGTCATCGGGGCCGGGTTCCAGGGCGGGCCTCCTTCCTCCCGCGCCGCCGCTGCTGCCTGCCTGCTTGGCCACCTGGAGGCTGGCGCCTTTGGCGATCCCCACAGGAAGGACTGTCGCCCCTTGACCCCTTTGGGCGGTGGGGCCCCGGGGACTCGACTGTGGAGGCCCACGAGTGGGAGATGCGAAACCCCCTTCCCCTGGTGGGGCGGCGCTGGGTGCGACGTGTCAGTCCACACGCAGGTTCTTGTCCCTTCTCTCCCCCCGCCCCCCAAATAAGCCAGAAAAAGAATCTGGCTCCTTAGGTATCTGGCTCCTTAGGTATGTCGTTGCTAATTGGTCCTGGGGGACGCCGTTTGCTGTCGCTGGACTTTTTTTTTTTTTTTTTTTAACTGGATAGGTCTTTTCTGGTTCCTTCAGGATAACGTGGAAAGGGCAGATGCATTACAGCTGTCGGTGGAAGAATTCGTGGAACGATATGAAAGACCGTACAAGCCCGTGGTTCTGCTGAATGCCCAAGAAGGTTGGTCTGCGCAGGAGAAGTGGACCCTGGAGCGCCTAAAAAGGAAGTACCGTAACCAGAAGTTCAAGTGCGGTGAGGATAATGACGGCTACTCGGTGAAGATGAAGATGAAGTACTACATCGAGTACATGGAGAGCACTCGGGATGACAGCCCCCTTTACATCTTTGACAGCAGCTATGGTGAACACCCCAAAAGAAGGAAACTTCTGGAAGATTACAAGGTGCCCAAGTTCTTCACCGATGACCTCTTCCAGTATGCTGGGGAGAAACGCAGGCCCCCTTACAGGTAAAGTACCTCGCAGTGAAGCCCTTACAGTCTCACGTAGGGCGGTATGTGTCACCTGAGCTCGGTCGGCTAACCTTTTTCCATAACAGTGAGTGGTTCTCTTTGGCTGCACATGGAACTTACTTAGTGGGTTAATGGCCACAGACTGGTTTCACTGGTCTGGATCGCCACTTGGGCATCAGGATTTCTGAAGGCGCCCCAGGTGACTCAAACACGCTACCACAGTTAAGCCACTGGTCTTTAGAAGAAATTTTAATAGTTAAAGCTCAGTAGTAGTAAGCCACATCAGTGGTAGGGTTTTTTTTGTTTTTTGTTTTTTTTCTTTCTGTTACAGAGCATTCCGGGCATGATTCATTTAGCGTTTCTGTGTAGCAGGGTTTATGTAGTCTCTGAAATAAAGAGTATAAGACTAAAGACTCGCTCGTTGGTGGTATATGTGTACAGTTAAATTACCTTTCATATCTCGGACATTTCCATTCCATTAGATGGTTTGTGATGGGGCCACCGCGCTCTGGAACTGGAATTCACATCGACCCTCTGGGAACCAGTGCCTGGAACGCCTTAGTTCAGGGCCACAAGCGCTGGTGCCTGTTTCCTACCAGTACACCCAGGGAACTCATCAAGGTGACCCGTGAAGAAGGAGGGAACCAGCAAGATGAAGCTATTACTTGGTTTAGTATCATTCATCCCCGGACACAGCTTCCCACCTGGCCACCTGAATTCAAACCCCTGGAAATCTTACAAAAACCAGGAGAGACTGTCTTTGTACCAGGTATAGACGAACTAAAAGGAAGTACATTTTTTGATTTCAGTTATTTGTCATTTCCGAGCACAAGTGTATCTAGGAGTCAAAGAGACCCGTCTGCTTGCCGACTGTAAATGAGCTGACCGCTGCCCAGCTCGGACAGTGATGGGCTGCTGTCCACATCTCTTGTAACCTACATACGTAATGCGTGTTGATAAATTCCTTGTATGTAAAGATTCTACTCACCTTTTTGCCTAGTAGTTATCTCATGTGTCTGTGGATAAACTGTGGCTTGTTCTGTAAATTGGGTTTTTAATACAGTGTAACATTGGCTCACTTCAGACTTAAGTGTTGAAAGTGAGGGTGTTTAATACTGGAGGAAGGTGTTCTCCTCCTTGGAGCTGAAAAACTTGTTGCCTTTCCAGTTTCAATCCCAGGTTTGGACTCACAGGGGTCAACACACTTTTCCTGTAAAAGGCAGAGAATAAATATTTTAAGTGCTGTGGGCCAGACCGGGTCTGTTCTAGCAGCTCAGTTCTGCCTGTGGAGCAGGAAGGCAGCCACAGGCAATCTGGAAATGAACAGGCATGGGCTGTGCTCCAGTAGAACTTTCCACAAATAGGTTGTGATTTCTGGATCAGGAGAAGCATTGACCAGTCCGGATCTCCTGTCTCTGAGTCTCTACCTGTCTCGCCTGTAGATGGGTAGATAGGAACCCTCTGTTCACCAAGCTTATGTTTGTGATCGTGCACAGAAGCAAACCCTGTTTAACTGTTTCTTTGTTGGGTTTCAGGAGGCTGGTGGCACGTTGTCCTTAACCTTGACACCACCATTGCCATCACGCAGAATTTTGCCAGCAGCACCAACTTCCCTGTTGTATGGCACAAGACGGTAAGAGGGAGACCAAAGTTATCGAGGAAATGGTATAGGTGAGAGACTTTTTTTTTTTTTTTTTCTTATTTTCACTTTGTTCCAATTCATACCCCAGAGGTGAAATGGAAAAGAGTTCACTGCTGCAGTGACGTGTGCTGATCTTAGGCCTGGGAGAGCTTGGGCAGAGGAGAGTGGGTCCAAGGTCAGGGCTAGTTCTCAGGATGCTTGCCAGCCTCCAGGTGACAGGGTAAGACTCTGCATGTTTGATCAGTCAGTCAAAACATGGCCATAATTGGGATTGGTTCTTGTTTTCTGTTTTTTGTTTTGTTTTATTTTCTGTTTTTTGGTCCCCGCCCCCCCCCCCCCCCCCACCCCCCCAAAGCTAGCAGTAGCAAAGGAAGCCATTTTGTTTGGGTTGTATTTTGGTTTTTTCTTTTTCTTACTGAGAAGCATTATTCCCCTTTAAACTTAATACCTTCAGTTCTTGTGAGTGAGGTGACTGCCCTGGAGACTTAGCTCCTCTGTTTATCCACAGAACAGATACAGCACGGGCAGCGGCAGTGCAAGCCACCCCCAGCCACCCCGTGCCACTGTGTCCCAACCCTGACCTGGAGGGACCAGCTCTCGGGGTAAGAGAGGGATCCTGGCTTGGTCAGTGCTCAGCCTCCCTGCTGAGAGGGCCAGCAAGGGTGGTGGCTTCGTTCTCCCTGGACTCTCAGGCACCTAAGGCCCACTGACTCCATCCCGTTGGCTGCTGTGTGCTGGGATTTGGTCATCTTAAAGGCCTGACCGCGCAGCTGGTCTCTTGTCCCAGCTTAGAGTGGATGCCAAGATCAGGTCCCTATGGGGAGGGCTGCTTCCTCCGAAAGTCCAGTCCAGTTTTATCTTCCGAGTGAGGGGGACCCTCTCAGTTGCTTGCCTCTTCTTCTTTCTCGCAAACCTAATTGTTGCTCCTCTTACAAATGGCACGTAACCAAGCCCGACTGTGGTCACTCAGTGCGGTGTCGTGGGAAGGAAGGGTTTGAAGGAAGTCAGCTAGAAATGATTCAGGAAGAAACGGAAGAGAGAGACTTGCTCCCAGGTGGAAAAAAATAAGTGGCTGACTCGGGGCATCCTGGCCTTACGTCGGCAGCGCGGCAGGCTCGTTGGCGTGCGAAGGTCGCAGTAATTCGGTGCAGCTAGTCCGCCTCTCGGAAAAGCCTGGGCGGCTCGTTAGGGCTCCTGTTCCCAGCCTGTGGACCCGCGCGGCCTCACCACGGCCCAGCGCCCCTTCCGAGCCAAGGCGCCCGCCCGTCGCAGGTGCCTCCGAGAGACACAGGCCTCAGCTTTGAGTCCGGGTTACCGCGCGCGGAGTCGCTGCCGCTCCCAGCACTGGGAACGATGTTTCTTGTCTCCCAGGATCTTGAAGCAGGAGCACCCCGAGCTGGCGGTGCTGGCTGACTCCGTCGACCTGCAGGAGTCCACGGGGATCGCCTCCGACAGCTCCAGCGACTCCTCGAGCTCCTCCAGCTCCAGCTCGTCCGACTCGGACTCCGAGGTGAGGCCCCGCTGCCCGGAACCCAGGCCCGCAGGGCACGTCCCCCGGGAACCTCCTGCCCAGCACGGGAGAAGGGGTACACGTTCTCCCGCTTTGCTCAAGAGCTGCAGCTGCCACCGTTCCTGCCGGGTGGTGAACTTTGCCCATGTTGTAGCCTGGCACGCGTGCGTGTGCGCTCGCACGTGTGTGCGTGTGCGCTCTCACGTGTGCGCGCGCGTGAGCTCCTGCGTCGTCGGCAGTAACTTGAAGAGATAAAAGGAGTATCGGGGGGTTTCGTTAAGTGAATGGCCAAGGGCCGCCCAGGTCGTGAACAGTGGTGTGGGGCTTCAGACTTGGAGCGCTGTCACCTCTCAGCCGGCGGTGACAGTTGTCCCTGTGGGTGTAAATTGTAAGCTTGGAAGCTCCCCGAACTCGGTGGCTTGTTGGAAGCTGACATCATTTTGGGGAAGAGGAACCTGGGCCCTCACTGGATGGAATTTCTGTCGTAGCACTTTGCATAATCGGGGGATGCGGTGTCTTGCGGGGGCCGGGGGCGTGGGGGAGCAGCGTCAGCGCCGGACTTCTTGTGTCCCTCTCGGGGTCTGCCTGGATGCAGCGAAATGGCGTCACGCGGTCTCAGGTTGCTGACGCGTGTCTGGATTTCAAACAGCCCTCCCACTGGCAAGCCCTGGGGGGGACACCTGGCATGTGAGGGAGGTCGTAGTGTCCAGGGTCCCAGAAACACCCGAGGGAGAAGGCGGTGCAGACTGTGCTGCGGAGCGTCGTCCGTGGCTCCTTCGCTTCCTGGAGGACTCGGGTGACATTCATGCTGCCTCTCGAGGCCGGAGGTTTATTTACAGACAGAAGGGGTTGCATCTGGTTGACTTCCTGCTTTTTGCCTCCTCCCCGCCCTCCCGTGCAGTGCGAGTCGGGGTCTGAAGGCGATGGGACGATGCACCGCAGGAAAAAGCGGAGAACGTGCGGCATGATGGGCAACGGGGACACCACCTCCCAAGACGACTGTGCGAGCAAAGAGCGCAGCTCCTCCAGGTGACCGCACGCGGCTGCTGTCTCCGTAGGAGGACGTGCGCGCGGCGAGGCCAGGGCCCCGGGGAGGGCAGCCTTTTGGATCTGCAGCAAGGGGAGGGCCGGAGAAAGCCGGAGAAGGAGCACGCCCTTGGAATAGGGGTGCGTTCACTTAGCGTTTGCTCCAGTAGCTTCTTCCTCCGCTGCTGACGCAAAGTCACGTGGCTTATTTTACGCATAAAGGCAAGGATCTGTGTGGATGGTGCCAAGGAAACCCTTAACGTTATTTAATAAAAATTAAAACCATTTTATATCTTTGCAACTTCTGTCCTTGGAGAATCCCAAAGCCTCCCCTTGTGGCAATGCCTGTGGTGTTGTGGGAAAGCAGCGACTCGACTGCCCCGGGCCCTCGATGGGGAAGAGATGGTTGTGGCAGTCGGGGCGGCCCGAGAGCAGGTCCCTGGTGCCCCCCGGGAGCCAAAGGGGGGGCCCCCTGCCCCCCCCCCCCCCCCCCCCCGCTTGCCCTTGTCACTTTGAGCGCTCACACCACGTGAGACAGCCGTGAAGAGCTCCGATTTTCTCGAAGGTCTTCATCACGTCTTCCACGTTTGTTTGTTTGAACCGGATGGGATCTAAATGAGCTCAGACTTAAACTCAGAGTCAGTAAGGCGACCTCTGCCAGCGCGTGCCCTTGCGGTTGACACGCTGTGGGCTAAACTGAGGTTCGAGTCCAGAGCCTCTTCTCACATGCGAGTCCTGATGTGTCTGACGGTGGCGGTAAGCGGGGGAGGGGGTTTCGGGGAGGTAGTTCAGTACGGAAGCTCGGGGGACCCTAAGCGTCTGGGGGCCTGGCCTGCCGTGGGCGACGTTGCTGTTGCGCTGTTCGTATCTCTGAGCAGCTGGGTGTTTCCTCAACGTGTGTTAGCAGAGTGGTGGACCCACAGGCCCTGCTGTTTGTTCACACTGGAATTCCAGAAGCTCAGGTGTCCTAGTGGCGTGAATTGATGAGCTAGGCTCTGCATTTCTCAACCAGATTGCCCTCTTCACAGCCACTGTTCGATTTCTCGTCTTGCTTTTCCGGGGTGTTTCTGTCGCTGTAGACCCCACCTGGCCGTGCCGCGCGACTTCGTAGTTACTCAGAAAAAGTTTTAGGGTCAGCCCTGCCCTGACTTGCATGTGGGGTCTTGGGGTTCTGCTTTAACGTGTCCTTCCAGCTTCCCCCCTGCCGTGCTGTCTCCATGCTGCTGACAGGCGGTTGTGCTTTCCTTGGCAGGATTAGGGACACTTGCGGAGGCCGGGCTCACCCCTGAGCCAATACAGAGACTCTCCCTGAGGTGGCTCCTGTGTGCGCTGTGGGCGGCCGCCCGACTCAGTTTTCACATCTCCTGCTCCCACCTTCTCCTTTGTCTCCTTTGAATTCGGATCATCCTTCTCTGGTCCAAGCTTCTGTCTTCGGTCAAATGCTGTTCTTACCACTTGCTAAGAGTAGAGGGTCGAGAAGTTTCAGAGCTCAGTGAGACCCGAGACACTGGCGGCCGGCGCGCTGCGGGGCCAGGGGTCTGTGCTGTCCCCTCTAAGCCACGCTGCTCGACCTCAAGGCCGCAGGGCTGGGATCCCTCGAGTGTCTCGCCGCATCTGATTGCTCAGCGACACGGGTGAGGAGCCTCTGCTCTCCGGGAGCCAGCGGCGCACCAGCAGGCCCCAAGGGGCGAGTGGATTCGGATTTGCGTCTGAGGCAATCACGCGTAAAAAGTGCCACTCCCGCGCCACCCCCATTGTCACCCACCCAGCCGGCGTGAGCTCGGGCCTCGGATGCAGGACCTTCTTGCCACCGCCAGACGGGCTCAGGAATTCCAGCAGCATTTCCGTGCAGTGTGTTTTGGGGCAGGGATGACGGATCAGGGTTTCTGTTTAGAAACGGGAGGGGAAAGGTCCAGTGTGTGCTCCCGCAGAATTCAAGTTGTGAACAGGGCCTGCTTCTGGCAGATGGGTCTTTCTCCCCACGTGATCCGTAAAGGCAGAAGCTCTCGCTCTCTGAGAGACGTCACGGTCGGTGTCCCTGCTGGTTAGACCCACAGACGCTAGGTAGATGGCTTGGGCTGCAGGTCACAATGAACACATACGTGGTGCTTCTGGTCTTGGAAATGTTGAGGATTCTGAAGGCCTCTGGTATGAAGACTTGGGGGTTGACCAGCAGGTTCCATCTCTTGCCCTCTCAGTTGACCTGCTTGCTTTAATCTGTCCCTAAATTCAGCTAAATTTAAATAAAAGTGAGAGGGGGCTTGTCAAGGATGCGCCCAGTGAAAAGCACTGAGCAGCGTGCCCTTTTCTGGGCGGGGTGTAGGTAAGGGCACGAGCAGCCGGAGGGCGGCAGGAGCTGGCCCTGTAGCATCCCAGGGGCGCCCAGGAGCGGGTGTGCAGGCGGCCTGGAACTGTGTGGTGTTGCCTCCATGGATCCTCCCTGACTATGGGTATAATCTGAGGAATCCAGGGCTCTTCTGCACGAAGGTTATATTTTTAACAGACTGATGATCGTTTCTTGACACTGGGTTGGTCACGTGGCTTGTCCCTAAGAGGCCCGTCCCCTGCTTTGTCTGAGTTTTCTGCGTTCTCCAATCCCGACCCAAAAACATGGCTGGGTTGGATGGAGAACGTCCACCATGTTCCTCAGCATTGGCGCCTGTCACCTGCCCTTGGTGCCGCTCCGCTTCCCCACCAGGCCCCCTGGGCTCAGACAGCCCTGCTTCCCTCCATTCCAGGGTGTGTTTTAGGGGTGAGTAAAGTCAAACCCTGAACTCGTCTCTTTGTGTTCACACCTGACTGGGATTCCTCTGTCTCCTTTTTTAAAATGTTTGTGCTATCTTCCAAAATGCTTTTTTCCTGTACCTGAGTATTGCTGTCAGGCTATCACGCCTTCCTCTCTAATTCATATCAACTTCTCTCTAAATATCAGTGTAAAGAAAAAAAGCAAAACCAAAATTATTTGCCACCAGGGGGCAGGATAGGACTCTTTTGCTGTGGCTGGGATGACACAGCGGAAGTTTGAATGGGAGACACTAGCCTTCCTGAGAGGCCAAGGGTGATTCCTGTTTGACAAACAATATCCAGAGAGAAGGGATCCAGCCCACCTGACAGGCCTGCAGTCACCTCACCGGGAAGCATCCGGATCACACTGCTTACGTGCTGCCATTTGGTTCTTGCCATCGCACGAGTGACGGTGGGACAGTCCCTGTTTTAGCCAGGCCAGAGATTCAACACCTCCCACCCTGCCGCTGTCCCCTGTTGCTGTGGGCCACCCAAGCACACCATTAGGGGAATAAAGCAGGGGGGAGGTGGGGAGCCAGAGGGAGAGGAGGGCAGTGATGGCTGGGTGCTGCAGACCAGGTAGAAAGGGGGAACCAGATCTGTTCTAAAGTTAACCGTTCACCCCACCTGGTCTGAGCCTCCTCCTTCAAGTGACATCAACAATAGTAGGGATTTTTCTCCAACTGAAAAACCAGCAAGCCTGGGTCCTGGAAGAAGGACTCTTGGGTCCAGAACTACTGATGGGGACAAGCAGGGTCGAAGAAGACAGTGTGCGGCTCCGGGACTTTGGGAGCGAGCACCAAAGACTTTACCACCAGCCTGAAGGACCCGGTGCCGCACACAGGTGTCTCTGGGCTCCTTAGTAGTGATGGGATATTCAGGGTGACATCTTTGAGGGGAGAGCCACCCAGCCCAGGGATGTTGTTCCAATTTGGCTTGGGCTTGCAGACGCCCAAGTGTTCAGCCCGCGTTTGAGTGGCAGGCACTGTTCTGGGTGCTGGCGATGGAGCTGGGACAAGCGCAGGTCCCTCCCCTCGTGCCGCTGAAAGGCAGTGTGCCGTGCACGGTTCCCAAGGGTCACTGCTCAGGCTAGGTGAGGTCACGCATATCCATTTCCATGACCAGAAAAGCAAGGTGAGACCTGACTAAATTCAAGTCTATGAGATCTTCCTAAAAGAACATAAGAACGTCAAGTTGTGGTCTTAGTATTTGGTTTCTCTCTATATCAGCTAAAGATATTTAAGCATTGGCAAGAAAGTTGCTGGTGTGAGTGGTTTATGAACTTACTAGAGGTTCAGTCTGGTCGTGACATAGGATTTTAGACAAGTTGTGGAACAGAATAGGAGTTTTGTGGGAAGTGTTGTAAAAAGTGCTTTTAGGACGTAGGCGTGTACGTGCACAGCTGTAGGTTCCTTGAATTGTGCATAGCATTTCCACAAGCTGTTTGTTGTGTGTGCTGGGTACTGCGGATGGTTCCCTGTGTGGTTTCTCCTCACATGCCCCCCTCCCTCCCTGCCTTCTGTCAAGATGTTCCACTGATGTTACTTCATATGCCACAAAACTAGATGAAGCGCGCGCTGTGGCACCCTCGGGGGGTGGCTCTCGACTTTCGTCTCATTGTTCAAAAACTTGAGGCATCTAGTCCTCACTGAAAGTCCCATGAGAACTGGCCCAGCCTGCTATCTTCAAGGTGACTGGACGGTGCAGAAGAACTGGGACCATGCAGAGTCCTTGTGCCTCTGGCCTCTGCCACAGAGACACCCAGCAGCACGCTCCGTCTGCGTCCGTCTCGCCGTGCGCTCCACCACAGGCTGCCTATGGCTCCGCCGTTTGATGGTGGTTTTAACTTTCACTTGGATGAAACTTGTTCATCATTTTAAATAAAGCAACTTGGTTTGGAGTTGGGTTTTTTGCATTATTTCATTCTTGTTTCTTCTCGTTATTCATCTGGTAGTAGATACAGAACGTAGCTAAGTTTGCACAATGGCCCCCCTTAAATGTGTACTTTCAAACAATGAAGGCAGGGGCCAAAAAAGAAGGCCCGCTTTGGCTGAAAGTTCCCTGGACGTCAAAAGCCAGATAGGAGCCCCATTCCACATTTTGTAGTTATGGGGCATTTTTCACCAATCACCACTGAAATTCCTTTTGCTGGTACCCCTTACCATTATGTGAAGCCCCAGGACTAAGCTCCCCCTCTTCCTGGAGGCCTGCTGGTCGTAACTGGAGCCCAGGAAGAAGCCTGAGCACATCCTTCTGCCTCCCATGTAAGTGGCACTCCATCTAGCTCCTGGCCTGCACCAGATACCCGCTCAGGCACTGGAATTTTTCCAAAAAAGCAATAAATGTGTCCTAAGCAAAAACTGGCATCCTGTTTTTTCAACTGGTACCTGACAAACTTTGCTGTGTTTACTGGGAAGGGTAAAGACACAACTTTTTGGTTACAGCGTATCTATCTCAAACAAGTACAACCGAAGGAAGGATCTGGGGAAAGAGCAGAATTCCCTTCATTCCACCCTCCCTACACGGGAAATACTCCAAGAGGAAAAGTCAGTTTGGGAGCAATGTTATCCCAAAGCGCCAGGAGCTGAATTCCAGAAAGCCGCCTTTGGGGGGCAGCCGCGTTACAGTGAGGCTAGTGTTGAAGGCTGCTGGGTGTTAGGGCCGGGCATTCCCCGCCAGGAGCTCGGGTGCTCCTGGAAGTGGCCCGGAGCAAGCCGGTCAACATTTGCCTTTCGTCGCCTTACGGGCAGTCCAGTGCCACGGTTTAGGCGAGCCTTCCCGGCCGTCCGGGGCCTCGGCATCTCCCAGCCTGCGGTGCCAAAGTGCTGGACCTTCTGTACAGGGCGGAAATGATGCCGAAAATGACCGTAATCTAAGGGCGCCTGAGGCAAGAGCGTTTGGAGCTGGGTTTTCAAAACAAATCTAAGCGCGAGCGTCAGGCCTGCCCGGTGCAGGGAGGGACTGGCCCGCCTCGGGAGTGCCGCCGCAGGGGTCAGGGTCCCCCAGCATCCGTGGCCTCCGCACCCCAACCCCCACCCCACCCCACCCTCACCCCCGCAAAGGGGGGTCCGAGAGGGCGGGGCGCGGGCAGGGGCTCCGCCCTGGGGCGGGGCGCGGGCGGGGCGCGGCGGGCTCCCTCGGGGTCCCCGCGGGCGGGCACTCCGGCGGCCGCGGCGCGATGGAGGCGCCCGCCGAGCTGCTGGCCGCGCTGCCGGTGCTGGCCACGGCGCTGGCGCTGCTGCTCGCCTGGCTGCTGGTGCGGCGCGGGGCGGCCGCGAGCCCAGAGCCCGTGACCCCGGCCAAGGCCCCCGGGACCCCCGCACCGCCCTGCGCCCCAGAGCCGGCGGCCGCGCCGGAGGGCCCGGGGGAGCTCGAGGGGCCGGGGGAGCGAGAGGCGGCGCCGGTGGAGGCGGAGGAGCAGGCCGCCGAGGCCAAGCAGGTACGGACCCGGCCCTCCTGGGCGCCCTCTCCCCACCTCGGGGCCCGCCTCCCCCTCCCCCCAGCTCAGGCGGGGCCGGGGACCGGGCTCCCAGCCTCGCGCCGACTGTCCCCCAGGAGCGCAGACCCCGCCGAGCAAACTCGCCATGGCCCTCCCCCTCCCGAGTGCCTGCGAGCGCCGAGCCTGTGGGAGTTGTGTAGTGTGTGGTGCTGGCGCTCCACTTCCCGCTCCCGGCTCCCTCCTTCCCAGGCTCGGGTCACACCCACCCCTCGCCCCGCACCCCTCCGGCCCGCGGGTTCCCGGATCCACGTGCATGTTCACGATCTGCGATGATGAGAGTTGTCTCGATAATGAAAAAATGGTCATACTTAGAAAAAAAAATGCTGATTTTTCCTGTTAAGCCAATGTGAAATCCAGACTCCAGAGCCAGTGAGGTCTCGGGGTGGGAAGCCACAGGGCGGGGCCGAAAGAAGAGGCGCGGAACAAACGCAGTCATTGTATTGTGCTTGTCAAACTGCACGCGTGCTTCGGCACCTCTGCCCCGGACTTGCAGATAAGCCAGGCCTGGGGGGAGTGGAGGAGAAGGTAAAAGCTCCGCTGAGCACCCCGGGAACCGGCCCTCCTGCTTCTGCCCCATCCAGGTCCCTGCTGTCCCTGAGCTCTGTCCTGACCTCACGCCTTGCTTCCTTGCTTCGGGACATCAGGAGAGATGTGCACCCATCCCCCAGCCCCGTACACTTTTTCCAGTGCTGCTCTTCACATTGAAGCCTACTTGGCACCCATGAGACACACTGCCAGGATTTCAGCGCCCTTGACCCCAGCAGGCTACCATTCGGGGCCCTGAGCCTGTTGGACCAGAATGCCTTGTTCTTACTCCCGAGCCCCTCTTCCTGCAGGGGAGGATGGCTGGGACAGTAGAAGCCGTGAGCAGGCTGCTGGGGTCCTGTCAGTAGAGTATCTGCAGCGTCCTTTAGAATTTTGCTGGACATTATGGTTTACAGGGCAAAGAACCCTTGAGGGGAGACGGCCATGAGGGTGGGCCAAGGCGCAGCTTCTCTTTGCCAAGTTAAGCGTGCAGGGACCCCTCTGAGCAGGCGCTTTGTTTGACAAGTGGGTGGGGTGACTAATTGTGTCATGAGCGGATTCTCACCAGCCTGAGGAGGGCTGTCGTATTTCCCCCGCCCCTGCCCGCCCCCCTCCGGGGCCAAGGACAGAGACTCTGCGTGATGGAGGCCCAGCTGCTCTTGCGAACCTCCCTGGCCAATGGCAGGTAGGGCTTGGGACCTGTGCTGGTGTGTTAGGTCGGGCTTCTGCCTGCACTCACAGCCTCCCGGGCCTAGGAGAGATGTGGGGGCCCTTCTCAGCCAGCCCCAGTTCTCAACCAGCCCTGCCCCACGGTTTACACAGGGCCCTCGAAACCCCAGCAGCAAATTCTAGACAGAAGTTTGCAACGCCGCCCTTAGTGGTGCTCAGTCAGTGTCTCGATCCCCTGGGCGACACACTTCTGAAAGAGCTTTGCACAAGGCCTGTGGGGCCCTCAGCAGTTCCAGAGCTGGTGGGCAGGACTCAGCGTCACTGGTCAGGAGCAGCCAGAGGACAGTTTTCCTCATTAGGAAAACGCTTGTCCTGTAGGGGTGAGTGGGTGCTCTGGAGGACAAAGCCCATCACAGGGGTTCCCACGTGGGGCAGCTGCCAGATGACTCTGAGAGTTGAGGCTTGGGTCTCTCCTCCCTGTGCAACAGCCGGTCCTGAGATTATCCCAACATAAGCGTTACGTTTAAGTCCGTTTCCCTGCCCTTGTGGGTTCAGACCCCCACCCCTGCTAAGTTGCTGAGCCCCCCTCAATTCCAGCCAGCAAACGGTCGTGGCTGCGCCTCAGGCCTGGGGTCAGGTGCTGGGGGGGGACACATACCACTGTCCCCCACTGCTCTGCCTTCCCGATTGTGGGATTAGCCCTGCAAGAAGCCGCTAAGAAATTGTCTGTATATGGATGTGGGGTGGGTGGGGGCATTTTTTGAGATCTCATTATCATATTGCTGGGCCTAGTGAGCGGGTAGAAGGGCCCTGGGGAAATGAGGCAGGGGTGGGAGGGAGTGGGGGGGGATGCAGAGCAGTCAACTTGCCTAACTAATGGCACTTCTTCTGATCCAATCATCTTTCTGCCCTGCCAGGCCCGGGAGGCCCAGGGCAGCTGCTGCTTCTGACTCACTAAGCTGATTATTGCAAAGGATCTGGGGCCCAGGGAAGCAGCCTTCCAGCGCGGCTCTGGGTCACCGGGGAAGCGGCCCTGCTGTGCTGGGAAGCAAAGTAGCGTAATGGACTGAGGCACTGGGCAGCCACTGAAGAAATGGGGGGTGATCAGCCGGCCGGGACAGGGAGGCCAAGCAGAGGGCAGAACCGTATTGTTAGAATGTCTTTCTTGTTATGTCTCCTAGGGGTGAGTGTAGGGGTGGGCAGCTGAGGAAGTATGATAGGCGCGCCCCACCCTCACAAAGAATCATGACCAACAATGTTACGAATAAGAGCTGGTCCCTTTTAAGGCCAAGAAACAGTGTCTTTGGGTGCTGATGTGTAGGCTGCGATCTTGGGAGGGCCGGGCTTCTTGCGAAATGGAGGTGTGGATTCCAGCAAGGCTATGTCAGAGGATTCCCAAACCATGGTCAAGGTGAAGGTCAAGGGTCACTTGAATAGTGCTAGTTTACATCCATGCCAGAACTCGGACTTCTTGGCACTCTGGGTCCTCGCTCTGCTCAGCAACGGAGTAGGGACAACGTCACCACACATGGGGTAGGCAGGGAGACTCATCTAGATTAAAGACTAAAGAGACAAGACAGACAAATGCGATGCCTGATCCTTGATTGGATTCTGGATTGGGGCTGGGGTGGGGAGCTGTCAAGAACATCTTGCAGGTAGCTGGGAGATATTTCAAAGCAATGACTTATGAGATCATTTTATTGTATTGATGCTCAATTTCATGCATGTGGTGCTGCTGTTGTGGTTAGAAATATGTCCTTGTTCTTAGGAAGATGCATGCCTGGGAGGCCGGGGTGGCTCAGTCTGTTAAGCAAGCGTCTGCCTTCGGCTCAGATCATGATCCCGGGGCGCTGGGATTGAACCCCTTGTTGCCGAGCTCCCAGCTCAGTCTGCTTCTCCCTCTGCCACTGCCTGCTGCTCCCTCTGCTTATGATCTCTTTCTCTCTCTGACAAATAAGTAAATAAATAAAATCTCTAAAAAATAAAATAAAATAAAATAAATTTTAAAAAGAAAGGTGCATGCCCAAACATTTAGGGGCGACATGTCACGATTCTAACAGTGACACACATATGCACGCACGAGAGACTGGAAAGATGGCAAAACGTTAACAGCTGGTGAATTTAGGTGAAGGGTGTACGAGTGTTCATTGTTTCATTCTTCTGATTTTTCTGTAAGTTGGAATTTCCCAAAACACACTGTTGGAGAGTACATTTATCTTGATGAGCACTGAGAAGTGTAGAGAGTTGTTGAATCATCATATTGTACACCTAAAACTTCTATAACACTGTATATGAATTATACGTGAAAAAAAAAATACAGTGTTGGAAAAAAGAAACCAGTGGGGGAATTTCTCGGGAAAGGGCTTGGTTTTTTAGGCACTCCAGTGGTGGTGGTCTGATTGAGCTGCCCAGCCTCCTTTGGCTGCCCTCACTGTGCAGCTGGACCCTGGACCTTTTCCCAGAACCCCGAGATCATGACCTGAGCCAAAGGCAGACGTTTAACCAACTGAGCCACCCAGGTGCCCCCGTAGTTCACCTTCTGAAGTTATCCTGCTGTTAGGTCCATGCTGTGTCCCTTACCCTCACCATCGTCATCACCACAGGCGTGTCCTTGTGCCCCCCACCCCCTGCAGAGGCCACGGAACGATTTAGGAGACGGTGAATCCACTCCCGCATCATCTGTCCCGACCTTCGTGATGTCAACATGGCCCTGCTCTCTGTTCTCTTAACAAAAGCGCAGAAGCCAGCTAGTCGAGGGCCAAATAGATAATTTGGCCGTTGTTCATATCACTTTGGAATCTTGTCTCAGTCAGCTCGGGCTGCTATAACAAAATACCACAGACTGGGAGACTTAAACAGTACAGATTTATTTCTCGCAGCTCTGGTGGTTGGCAAGTCCACGATCAAGTGCCAGCGAATTCAGTTCCCAGAAAGAGCCTGTTTCGGGCTCACAAGACAACCGCTTTCTGGCTATGTAGGCACGTGGTGGAGAGAGAGCTCTCTGGTCTCTTCCTCTTCATATAAGGACAATAATCCCTTCCTGGGGGCCCCACTCTTAGGACCTCATGCTACCCTAGTTACCAACAAAGGCCCCACCTCCAAATACCATCACGCTGGGGCTTAGGGCTTCAACATAGGAATTTGGGGAGGATACAGACACTCAAGTCTGTAGTATGTCTAGTGATTTGCTGGGAAGGAAACTGGAAATAGTCCAAATGTCCATTAATTAGGACACTGAGTTAATTAGCAAGTTGGTAGAAATAAGTAAGGAAAAGTGCAGAACATAAAACAGTGTGTTCACAGTAATTACAGTCATGAACATCCCCGGACAGAGGACGATGCCCAAAGCTGCGAACAAGAGTTCAGTGTTCCGAAGCGCAAGAGGGTGTTTTATGCGAAGTTGTTCTAGCTCATAATTTTTTTTTTTTCCATGTGAGAAAGAAGTCCGGGGACTTTCCTAATGGCTCAACTTTGTTCTTTCTTCCAGAGATAGTCTTGTTTGCACACAGAAAATGTAGCCGTCGGTCAGAATTTTCTAGAAGTAGTGAAGCTGCCTAGCTTCAGAGGGAGGGTTAGAAGGGAAACGTGGAGCGTGCGCCCTTTCAGACAGTCTCTGTCCGTTTAGCCCTGTTCTTTCCCGGATGTGGCCTCAGCCACAGAGTGGGAGGGCTGAGACGGTCTGAGACCATTGGTGGATGTGCTTCCTGAGCAATGTCCGATCCCTGGTGGCTCAGGCATTTCTGGAA